TCTTTTTTCATAAGGGCGCTTTATTGAAATTATCGCGTATTGAGGGGCACCACGAGGTTTCTTCCCTTCGGCAGTCGATCGGGAAATCCGATGACGTCGATTCGAAGGAAATCGAGCCATAGAAGTGAAAAGGTGCGGAACCAGTCGGCCAATCGGAGATCGCGGCCGCGGAAATGTCTGCGGGCTCGGGGCTTCATTAATTCGCGGGGGGCTTAACGAGGGGGTATCCCTGGTGGCCCTCTCCGATCAATGCCATTGATTGGTCCGACCAATCAACATCTGATTCTGCCGCTCTTCCAGCTCGTCCCGAAATCATAGAGGCATTCAACGCCCCGCGCCTTCTGACCCGGTAATGCTCGCATGAGCTCCGATTTCGCATCAACCCTTTCGTTACATCTATCTATCCTCCCGGTCCGGAACGAAGGATGAACGCGTAATTTGGCACGTACACCGTGCCGACACGTAAATCGATATATCCCGTGAAAATCGATTCTAAATTTGACGCTAAAATTAGACATTTTAGACGATGATTTGAAATAGCATGCGATGCGTGAAATACGATGATTTAAAATAGTATTAGATGCGCAAAATGCAATGATTTAAAATGGGAAAGTAATAATGTTTGTAAAGGTACGAACAAGTGTCGGATTTTATCGCAAAATTGTTTAGCTTCCTTGTTAAAATTAAAAGAATGTATATCGAATACATCCACGAGTTCGCTATAAATTTAGTATGCCGTATCTTAATACAATTTCTGATCCATGATTCATAAATTTGTCTTAGCTTTTTGAGAGGATGAAGATCCAAAGATGAAGATCCACTTCAGACCCGGCCCCGATGAAACACTTCGGCGAATAATTTGTTACTATCGAAATCGACCCTCCACCTCGTCGCAGCTCGGTGCTTTTGTTCAGCGGTCAAAAGCTTGGAATTGGCCAAACTTGAGCGAGAACTCTCGTTGATTCGATACACGTTGGCCGGGGAATACATCCAAAGGATTTTTTAGATTCAAACCTGGCTCGGCGATTAATCTGCGCGGGTTGGAAATAAATCCTACCGGCCGATTTGAGTGGCCGGTATAGCCGATATCGATTGATCAGCGGCTTTGATCGGTCGGGACTTCTCCGGCGTATTGTCCTTTGAATATTTTCCGCCGACCTTTTGTTGCCGCGATCTCATCGCCTGAGGGTGAAACAAAAATACGGGAATACTTTTTTCATCCGTATCCATTCGCGCTCGGAATATGATTCGTCAAGATACGCATCGGAGTACTCGGCATTCCGGAAACGTACAAATGGGTGTTGTCTTCTCTTTATAAAGGAAATGAAAATTTAGAAAAGTGTACTGAAACGCGATATTATTCACGAGAAATATTCATTTAAACGGACATTGTTTAAAGAAGCAGTACTGGTAAACAGGAAAGTATCCCTTGATTGGAGTGCCGTAGGTTAGAATAAAATTTAATGAACATTTAATATGTTTTACATTGAATACATTTTTCTTACAATTACATGGAATTACCTTCTTGCCAAATGGAGCATTTCGCTTAAGCTCAAGTTGACGTACGAACCATCTCCATGGAGACGTCCTGCAACCCTTTCGCTCCATCCTCGAGGTGAATTTTTTTTTCAGCGGCCCCTTTTACATTAAAACTTCCTAACCCACCCTTTTCTCGTACCCCTAATCCTTTCAAAAGGGTTCTTCGGAGATTTCCCCGCAATGGCGTCGTAAAAATTCCTTAGGGGAAGTTAAGACGAAAAGTCTCGAGGACTCCCCAGAATACCCTGGAGATGTCCCTGAAAACCCGAAAGGGATCATCCCGAGGATGAAGTGACTGTTAAGAGACAGCTCGCTAACCGAGGTCTTGGCAAATTCTGTAAATCGGACGTCGGTACCAAGAATAACGAGTTCCAAGGAGCATTCGTCATCGGGGTGATGTTTCGTCCCGATAAAACACTTTGCGACACCCTCGACGACCTCTCCCCTCATCTTCCGTCAGTCATCCGGAAAAAATGAAGTCTATATCGCTCCCTGGGAAGGAAGGGCAAAGAAGAAAAATACACGAAATGGAATCCTGATAAATCCGACTAACCCCGCGGTACGTTTCCGGAAGTGATTTCTCGTCGGGGAATCTCCTTGTCCCTGCAGGAGGAGGATTCATTAATCACCGAGGGGAATTTTTCCAGGACCCTCTCCTGCCGGCGGTAAATCCTTCGACGCAGCGAGAAATCGATTTCGTAAATATGCATAACGAGAAACCCGAATTCTCGCAATGGAACGTGAGCGGAAATTCTCGTTCGTGATAAATTCGATGCTTTAAACTATGAACAGGTTTTAAAAAACTCGTGCTTTATTGTTCCATGAAATATCAATTTCATTTTGCTTCGAGTCCGATATTTCAGATTTGTGGAACTTTTCGCGATGTTCTCTACACTCGGCAAAATACTCGGTTGTATAGAGACAATTTTTCTTGGTTCGACCACAGAGTATGGTCATTATATAGACAACCTAAGATTTGGTTGACATGAGTAAAATCTTTGGTTAATAAGATTTGGTTGATCAAATCAAATACTACGGTAGACCACATAGAATATTAAAGTGATTTGGTACACTCCAAATCATTCTAACCTCCCTGCATATTTTTCGAGACAAATGTTCCTTTTATACAAATTTTCATACAATTAACAAAGCGATTTAACCAAAACCCTTAAGTTGATTCAAACAAATGAACTAAAATTCGGTTCACTCAACCAAAGCGTTTCCCAAAATGAAGCAAATGCAGTCAATCAAACGATTTTGTAAATGAACGAATTTTATTTTTTCTGCCTATAGGGTTTTTCTGATCAATTCGGGTTTTCGAAATTTCTACGAGGAATAATTTAGACCTCGCAGGAATTTTTTCAAAATCACTTTATAAGTGATTTAGGATGTCATTTGGAGAGTTACTTTTCCCACAGGATTTCTAGTTTTGATTCTCACCGGGCAGAGTCCCCTCAATCATGGAGTCCTGCGGGAAACGCTCCAACAAGCTCTGGCTTGGATGAACCCTTCTGTAAACGTGGGATTGACTTCCAGGGAGTATGTACAGAGGGAAACGGAGATGCTCGCAGTGGCAGCAGAGATATCTCTCGTTAGACTAATTAGTTCTGGAATATCCGGTGTTTACACCTGCCGTGGCAGATTTTCCACCGTCGTCCTCTCCCGAGGGACTTCGCAGCTTCCCAACAAAGTTCTCTTCGCCCCATTGAATCGTCCCTGCTACGGATATCGAGATATCACGCTCGAACGAGTGGACCCAGTTTAATCGTGGAAACTTCCTCTTCCCGAGAATTGAAACTTCCTGGATAATTAGAAGGTCAATACAATCGTCTACAGCCGAACGCCCCGAAATCCTCGAAAATAGTCCAAATAAACAAAGTGATGCGAATGTTCCATCAAATTTGTCTAATAAAGGATCATGAAATGCGTCGTGAGAGTGATGCTTATGAGTCCTCATTTGCAATTCATATCTGCGGTACACAATAACGAACCAGAAATACTAAAATATTAAACAAAGTTAAGTACACGCAATGTCTCAATGTTTGTACGCATACCTACAGCTAAGTTTATCTCACGCATTGTTGATTAACAATTGCAGCGTCTATAGCTCATATTTGAACCATGGCGTGAGAAATTTACCGCAAGTTTTTCTTCAAATTTGTTGTGTAATATGCGTACATGTATTGCAGACATTTCATGCAGTATATGGTCTGCAAATTGTTTACAAATCGAATCTTCTTAATCATATGATGATCATGAATTTCCATCTGGGAAGCGCCTTCGCTCGACGGTGGAAAATCGACTGAAATTCCAAATTATTAAATAATTTTTATACCGTTTATCAATATTTGTTTTTACGAAAAGAGGGAAAAATTAACAAGCGATTGGAAGAGATTCCCTCCTCCTGGTGAGGCAACTTGCCTCTCTCGGATTCCTATCTTCCCCCGATTTTGACGCGACCGATTTTATTCCGGAAATGAATATTTCATTCGCCCGCCCCGTTCGGAATTTCTAGGACTTCCATATTTTCCGGGAACTGTGATTTTTCCTCCCTTCGAATCCTTTCAACATCGCCCCCGAATTCCACGCAAACGTGGGCCGAACATCGGGCGCCTCGGCTTTCCAGAGTTTCCCTTTGGCGGTGAACTCTGCAGAGAGTTGCGATAAAAATTCTCCTTTCGGTGGGAAACATATTTCAGAGCGTGCTACGACCCCAACTTGCAATTTACACCTCGGGAGATTACTTATGAAATTTTTTACCGATGGTTAAAGACTCAATTATGACAATAATCGAATAATTATATCGAGTTAAGATGAAATGAACTCCCCCCTTCAAATCAATCGATTTAACAATCAGTAAAACACTTTTTTTTAAGTCATTGGACCGAACTGTCCGAAACTTTGACACGTGACTCGTGAACATTTAAGAATTATCCTGACAGTTTAAAATTTGGATTTTGGAAAAAGAAATTATTCACTGAGCCTAGCACAGACCCAAAATGTCGTCGAGCTCTCACATTTCGATCGATATACAATTATTGAAGTCACTGATATGAGAAACGAAAGGGTCGGGACAATTGTACAACAATTTAGAACACTCTAGTAATCGATAACCTCGCTCGCGACGGGATAATGGCAAAAAAAGTGTCTTATGCGCTTCTATGTTTAAACTTTGATTTCTTTATAATAATTGTACGGAAACGACATATGCAGTATATCATTTAGTACAATACCTAATATACTTAGATACAGCTGTCGATATAAACGCGAACTTCGGCAACGTAAGTATTTAGAAGAATCTTTTTACCGACGTCGATAAAATATCTCGACTTATTTCATTCCACCTTAATCAGATCCGTGAACATTTATTTCGGGGAGATAGATGGAAAGGGGAGAAGCGAGGAGAATTTCGTGAGAAAGAGCGATGCCGTGTAATAAGAGGAGGATGGTTCCGGTTTCAGGATGGACCATGCCAAGGTGAGGGGCGTCCTCGCAGGTGAGCCTCCCTCGAGCCCTGGGCCGATCTCTCGCTCCCCAGCATCCCGGGTCTCCCGCGAGGTCTCCCGCGCCCTTCCTGAGGAAGTCCGAATCGGTCGGGGTGCCCGGCGGGTAGCCAGGGGTGCCAGGGCGGCGATGCGACGATGAGCCCGGCGAACGCGGGCCAGCCCGTCACCCGACACCCCCGGACCGAGAGACCACCCAGAGACCGGAAGCTAGACCGGAACCGAGACCGGAAGTCTCGCCGCGAGACCAGGCCATGGACCAGGAGACGAGGAACGGGACCGGCAGCTGCGACGAGGACGAGAGCTCCGTTAACGTTTACTTCCTCGTCGGAGACCGCAGGGAGGTCGCCACCTTCCGGCCCGATCAGGTTACCAATCAGGAGATCAAGGGTGAGTGACCTTGGCCTTGGCCTTGACCTAGCTCCGCGTCTTATCCATGGCCTAACCCAATGCTGCACGGGCTGGCCGCTTCTCGAATATCTGCCATGAAAAATGCGTTTCTTTAACGTTGACCTTCAAAAATTGTGTACATGCCGAAGACCTAAATTTGATTATTCGAACGTGAGGTATGTAATAGTCGACAAGTTCTTCACCTTAAATTAACAGACACGAGGAATTAGGGTACCAGTCTAAGCGCTTCGAATTCGCCCTTGTTACTCGATCGTCACCCAAGCACTTACGAAAGAAATGCTTAAACTTATCATCCCCTCGGTATATGAATTTTCAATTTACTTGATCCGCAAGAAGAGACGAAGAGACATTTATTCATAGCCCCCTCCTGCACCTCTGCATCTCTTCCGCCATTTTCCCGATTTTGACGTCGCATCCCTTCCTTGAAGTCTCTGGAAAAGAGCGTCTATCCCGATTTCCCGCGAAACCTTGACTTCCCGGTGCTTCCCGTCGAGTCGATAAACCAAATTACGTCAGGCCGAAGGAATGCAATTTTATCGAGCGGTCTTCCAATTTTCCCCATTACGTCGGCCGTCCATGCGTTGACGCGCCCTGCCTGGCTGCGGCGGATCGATCGTCTAAAATCGATCCCAGACGACGATTAATGCGCTTCCTCCGGCGGGAGAAGACTCCTCGATGCGTCCCTCGAATCGCCCGGAAATTACGAAACCGCTGGTTCTGCCCTCGGTTTGCGGCCCGCCCCCCGGGAAGCCTCAACCCTAAAACCTCCGACGTCCACCCTGGCCTCGCGTCATCGAACAAAGCTTGGCCGGCTTGTGGGACGTGTGCAATGCCTGCACTTCCTGTGTTTGACCCTTCCATGGATCGATGGTGCTCCTGGTTCTCTGGTAAAGACACAATTTATTACGCCTAATTCGTGGTAAAATAATGACTCCGCTTTCATTTGGTAATTTCGTTTGGAAAGCTCACAATGAAATTCTGATTTATTCAGTTTTCTTCAATCGGGCCATGTTCCATCTTTTATGGGCTTCATTTATGCGGTATTGCGCGACAATTAATTCATTTAAAGGTTAATCTGCGAGAAAATTAGAATTATGGTCATTAGATGCGACCAAATTTTTCTTATATTTCGACGCAGATATAAAAGTTTTCTTTACACCTCTCACGCTTCCGCCATTTAAGTGGAAAGCTTTTTAACGAGGATTTCACCGCAGAATTTTCCCATAATCTTCTTGTGGGCCGACCTGGAAGATCGATCGCCCAGGAAGAGGACGTTCAACCCCTTCCGGGTTCTATTATTTTACCCCATGTCGGTTATTAACGATTCGTGACTTCTTTTCATGCTTTCATTACCGATTCAGAAAGGAAATCGGTTGACCTGTGAACCATGACCGTGAACTGACCATTTTTTAAATTATTTATAAACCCCAATAATCATCCTTAGATGTGTCTGAAAATGATCGTGACAATGTAACATTAATCGTAATTAATGAAGGAAATGTTACATGCGGCATAAATTAAAACGAAAAATCGTCGAAAAACTTGTGGAAAATTTATCTTTTTGCGCCCAAATTAGAATGCATTAAAAATGGGATTTCGACTTACAGAAAAAGACTGGTACTTCTAACAGTAGGTTCTGTTAAATCGAGTGTTGCATATGCACCTGTATGACGAAGTACATATCGATTGGTCGCATTCAGGCAGCGCCCTGTACATTCCGCGATAGAATTTATTCCCGAAGCCATTTGCGTGGCAAAGTGAAGGTGGACAATAGTGCAATATTAAACAGTTCTTTTGTTACAACGGTTATTGTACAGGCCATCGCTGCTGCCCGGCATACGGCGCGATGCACTTGAAAGTTTTTTTTTTCCCCCTGCACTCGGAGCACTCGGAAAATTCCCTCATTCCAATAAAAGTCAACTCGAATAAATAGACTTTATTCTCGACATCCACTCGGCGAGCGCGAAGGTAAAAGTGCACTGTTTCCGCTGCAACGATGCACTTTACCATCTCCTTCGGGATTTCTAAATATCAAAAATGAAAGTACCGAATAAAGGTATTTCAAACGAAACCGTGTAAAGGAAACAGAATTCTCATTAAGGAATTAAATCCACCATTAAGTTTTCCTCTGAATGTTGAAGTCCTATAAATGAATGTAGGCTGGAGAGATTATTCCTTTTTAATATAAAATTGTGTAAAAGTGAGAAACCCCCCAATTAGAGAGCCGGATGAATGGTCTTCATTCGGTGAATCGAATTACTCATTTCCGATAAAACCAGGTAATACCTGATTTATATTAATCGCCAATGTTGCGTTGACTGGATCCCCTTGCGATAAATAAACGCCCCTCGTCGCTGCATCCCCGTCTCGAGGGAAGGGTGACATTAATTAATTTTGCAACGTCTCTTTCCACGTCTCTGGAAACGCCACCAAGAGACAACTCGGGGTGCAAAGAAGTGTCTTGAAGCCAGGGCGATGTGAAGTAGCTCTCCCTTAATTAGACAAACCCAGGAAAATCTCCTGTACTTGGCACGTACCCCTGTGACATTGTTGTAGTATTGTAAAGTTCCATTGAATACGGCGAAAAATATTCGAAATATTTAGTGTAATAAAATTATAGAGTGTAATAGACTTCAACATAAATATAAATGTTGGTAACATGACGCGCCAGCTTATGTTATCACTTGAATATTCGAAACATCATTACCGCCAAAAAGGGCATAGATGAATTTTATTTTATCGACGTCGATTAAATTTCTCAACACCCTTAATATCACATTAATTGAAATGACTTTTAAAAGTCTCATTCATTTTTGTTGCTTCGGCTGAAATTAGACTTAGATTTTCTGAATAATTTTAATAAAATCCTAGTTTTATAAGCAATTTTTATGAATTGGTCAGATGCGACTGGAAGGACGCCTAATCGAGGCGTTCCGTCGACCGAACGTTTGAGACGTCGAACGGCGTCGCTTAGCGTCCCGATGATATTGGCCTGAACAAAATAATGAATAAATTGAGCAGTCGACAATAAAAATATAATCGTCCGCCGTACACCCATGATTCACCTTTCATTATCCTATTAGATCCAATGGAGGCGCAGAAAATAACCGCGTCCTTCTCTGCAGCCTCCCCCATTGGTCGCGTCGACGACATTACTCTCTAAAACCCTTGAAAAAATTATTTTTCTTAAATAATCGCCCATGCATTTAATCTCTATAAGTGACACGTGAAGAGCATGTCGAAGAACGCGAACGACATCCTTCCTCTCGAAAATTATTCCGAAGAAAAACAGAATCGACGGCATAATAGGGAGTAAGTAAGATTAGAATTTCAAACTCGCACGAGGAATTATTCTCTAATGCATACTGCATAATGCAACCCGTAGAAAATACAGAAATTGTTATGCCTGGCCCTTCGAGATGCATCTTAAAATATTTGAAACAGTTTGCACTAGAAAGTGGTTGAATAATCAAATTTTAATTCACCTCCGGGCTAATTTATCTATTTTCTCCATTAGATTCTTTTTTTTCTCGTTTTGTGTATGTTCAGTTTACATCTCAAATGCTTATGACGGAGTCGGGAAAATGTGAAATGCACAGAATCTGTTCCGCGCTCGGTGCACTCTTTTGACAACGAGTGCACGAGTGCAACGGCGCTTGTACTTAATTGCAGTCATTCGAGGATTGCATTGCAGTCATTTTGATTGCATCCTGGAGGACTCTGTAAACACGAACGGGGCTTAATTTTCTAAAGGCCCACAATCTTGGATCATTCCTGGTCGGCCAATTAGAGTGATCTTTCCATTCGTGTCGCTGAATGCATTTCATGCAAACCTCTGCACATGTCACTGCGAGGTTTTTCCCCGTTACTTATGCTAGGGAAACGTACTGTCGTTCAATTAGAAAAATAATGGCAACGCGCATATGTTTTCCTACACTGTTAATAAAATGCATAGAACACACTTTTAGTACATAAAGCCACAGTAAAATTATAAATTTGATACCCTCAGGTGAAGTGGAACCCTCCTCAATTCGGTCGCTTCGAATAAGACACTTTTGCGGGTTTTTTAATTTTAACAAAAGTTAATAACTATAATTTAAGATATTGATCCAGAAGTGCACTTTCCATTCGCATTATAGTTTTTCTTCCACTGAATTTCAACTTCCCTGAAATGTTCTCTTCTCTGACCTGAAATGAGGTTTCAAGGACCAGTCGCAATTTTCGTTAACGGAATTAAAAAATGTTCTGTACATGTTAAAAGACAAGATACAGGCCTCTTCTTTTATTAACCTCCAGTTAGGCCTGGTTTCCACATTTCGCGGGTTTTATTTCCGTGGAAGCGACGCGCGTGTCGCCTCCTCGTCAATGCAGCGAGGAAATCCAATTTTCGAGTGCAACCGGATAGGCTCCGGAATCCAATCGTCGCTTCGCTTTATCATTTCCATCGGCAGAACTTGTTACCTCCAACTCGTCCTCCTGGTCCATTCAGCAGCCGCCCGATTAACCAATCGAAAAATGTCCGATAAAGACGCCCCCTTGGATTTCGAACTCCTTTCGGAGCCCTCCGACCGATTTTCGATCGCCTTCCGACCTGAATTTCATCCCCTCGTCGTGGCATTCTACATTGGGAAAAGTCCGAACGAGCTTTCGTGAATCGAAAGTCCTTCCCTTGTCACGTATATAACCGAAAGTCCAAGTGCTCGTTCGCTTTAATTTATTTTTTTTTTTCTTTGAACCCGACCCACATTTCGATTCATTTTTCGATGGCTTGCAGGACCCACCAGATGAGACTCCGAAAAGTAAAGTGAATCGGGGAAAAGCTCCCAAAAGCTCTGCTCTCGAAGCTTTGTCGTTAAAGCTTCGAGTGCAGACTTAATTTAACGAGGATTCCTGAGTGCCCTGGTCTCAAGGGTGTATGTACCTTCTGGACCTGTGTGCACCTTTGAGGTATCGATGGTAGATGGTTTCTAAAGTACATG